AGGAATACTGAATCTTTAATGCTGCCATCAGTTGTAAAACAGACACTTCATATTAGCATAGGTCATTTTGGACCTACTTTGTAATCCAGCAATCAGAATCACTTTACATTCCCAGTATTGTGATGATGAGATTCGCATAATTCCATTTGAAAACTCTTTTGGTTTCACTGTCAATTCTTACGGCAAGTAAATCCGTTTTGTCATGGCAAGTAACTCTTTCTGCAGGGATGAACATTGGTCTGCTAAGTTTCTTCTCCTTTTGTTATGTATTGTCTCATTAAAAAAAAGTTTATATTCATTTAGTAACTTAATTTTTCAGACCTTCTCTGCTTTTGCTTGGGGTAGCAATAAATGCAAGGAAATCAACAACCTGTACTCTTTGGAAATTACTTTGGAAAATTATCTTCCTATAATTCAATCACTCAAACTCTAGGTCAAGGAGTAGTTTTAATAATAATACATCAGAATCAATGATTTCCCAATACTCTCTTATTTACTAAGTGATGACAGGCATGTCTTACTGATATAAAGGGCAGTAATTGGTGAACAGAAATATTGAAAGATATAGCAAACTGAGCTCAAGGAAGATTTAAACTGGAGCCTTATATTCTGAATTTATAGTCCAAAAACTTTTACTCATACAAAGAATACTTTATATAATACTTCAGAATACTATATATTTGGTACTATCTAAGTGCTACATATGTATACATATGCACACATATGTAGATAGCTGTTTAAAGCACCTTAACCAAAACGTGATTCTTTTTTCAACTAGAGAGGAGCAAAAATGGAAAAATGGTTAAAGGTAAAATTTTTGTCAGTAAAATACTGTCTGAAAAAAATGCAGTAACAATTGCGAGAAAAATTTCCTTCAATTTTTAGGACTGTAACTGTGCAGGTCTTCAGCCAACAAGCACTGACAAGAAAATTCTCCTTAGTTGTAGGCTACCCATAGACCCCCCTCAGGAGATAATGCATTCATTTCTGTACACTTAATATTTTTCCATGAGTATCAAATTTATGAAACCCTGATGGCCTTAGTATTTTTCTGCAAGAATGGTATTTTCAAAGTTACACAGTATGAGGCAGTAAAATGCTCTCTGACAAATCTTTCTTATTGCTGATACTTTAACACAACTCTCTGCTGAATACCTGCAGTGATATTCCAGAGCAAAGGTAGCCTGTGAATATGTATTGAAACGCTTGCCTGTGACCCTGAGACAAAGGTATTCGTAAGTCTGCATAAGAAAACACCCTTATTTTATGAAGGCTAATAATGCATTATGCTAATACTTTTGCTATTTGCATGTTTCACAGCTGTTGGTGGACTATTCTTTTTGGTTCTTTTCCAATTTGTTTAACATTTTGGGAGAAAAAAAAAATGATTACAGTGCATAAGACAGCTTATAGATTTGAAAGAAACTTGGGAAATCATGATACTGTGGTCAGAAGAGAAAATACCATGGGAGATTTTGAAGGGAGGAACCATTGTCCTTCCAGTAAAAGGTGGAACTGTTCAGATTTCACCGTTAATGAGAGCTTATCACTGGCTTATCGCATTCTTCCTACTGGCATTTCTGTGACACATCACTAATCATGGACTACCATACTACCTGAAGGACAAATGTAACCTAATCACTCTAAAACAGTTTTATTTTACTGCTTTCTTTAGAGAAATATAAATCCAAAATTCTATTATACATTTTATAACAAGAGAAATATTACAGCATTATAGAATCATTTATGTTGGAAAAGACCTTTAGGATCACGATGTCTAAATATTAACCTAGCACCACCAGACCATGTCCCTAAGCACCATATCTACATGTCTCTTAAATACCTCCAGGGATGGTGACTCAACCACCGCCCTGGGCAGCCTGTTCCAATGCCTGACAACCCTTTCAGTGAAGAAATTTTTCTTAATATCCAATCTAAACCTCCCCTGGCAGAAGTTGAGGTAATTTCCTCTTGTTCTGTCACTTAGGAGAAAAGAGACCAACCCCCACCTCTCTGCACCCTCCTTTCAGGTAGCTGTAGAGAGCGATCAGGTCTCCCCTGAGCCTCCTCTTCTCCAGGATAAACACCCCAGTTCCCTCAGCTGCTCCTCACAGGATTGTGCTCCAGACCCTTCCCCAGCTCTGTTGCCCTTCTCTGGACACGCTCCAGCCCCTCAGTGTCTTTCTTGCAGTGAGGGGCCCAAAACTGAACACAGGATTCAGGAGCACAGGAGGTGCAGCCTCACCAGTGCCCAGTACAGGGGGACAATCCCTGCCCTGGTCCTGCTGGCCACTCTGTTCCTGATGCAGGCCAGGATGTCACTGGCCTTCTTGGCCACCTGGGCACACTGCTGGCTCATATTCAGCCGGCTGTCGACTAACATCCCCAGGTCCTTTTCCACCAGGCAGCTTTCCAGACACTTGTTCCCAGAGGGTTGTTGTGACCCAAGTGCAGGACCCAGCACCTAGCCTTATTGAACCGCACAGAGTTGGCCTCTCCCCATCAATCCAGCCTGTCCAGATCCCTCTCTAAGAGTTTTCATAAGGAGAAAGGAGTTAAAGGATTTGCCTAAAATTAATAGTGGAATAAAAAAAGGAGAAATTATCTAATTATCTGGTCATTTGAGCAGGTTTTCTCTATTTCTGAGTTTTAAACACACACAAAAAAAAAAAGAACAGCAGAAAGGCTGGGTAGGTTTGTCTTCACTAAGGAGAAGAAATAAGTGAGGGTGGGTAAGTGGAAGAGGGGAAAAAAAAAAAGAAAAAGCAGAGAGATGGAGATACACAGCTGCAGAAAGGTAAGAAAGAAAGAACAAAAAAAATTTCCCTTCTTTTGCTTTTAGGCAGGTGTTTTGGATGATGTGGTAATATTAATCAGTCTTTGGAAACACTTTATGCTCCTTTTTGGCTACTTGGAGCTATTGAGCACAGTTGATGGGCAAGAGCAGAGGCAGGTGACAGCTAACAGGTACAAGCTGATAAGTAACAGCTAACTCATGAAAAACAATTTTCCAAGGAGCTATGACTTACAAAATAGGGTTGCACTCAGCTTTTGTACTAATGCATCATTTGATTTGTCTCCAAGCTGTACTGGTATAACTGCTTCTATTAAACTGTTTCCATTACAGAAGCAGTAGGCCTTTGTAATTCATATCTGACCATTAAAATTTGAAATTCCCTTTTGCAAAGGGTCATGAAGGTCCTCCATGCACCTAAGGTGAAAACACATTCCTGTAGAATGAAAATCATCCTTTTTCATGGAGAGTTTGTGGTTGAAGCCCCCTTCTTGCCATCATCAGGTAGGGATGAGAATGCCTAGCAGCTAGAGCAAATGCTTGTAAATCAGGCTGCTTGGGGCTAGCTCTTGCTCTGCTTCGAGTCTTGACATTTGTGCTCCTCACAGAACTATGCTGTGATGCAAAACTTGCTCAACTCCCTGACAGAGAAACAGGGGCTTAGATGAGGTCCTGGTGAGTGCTGACTGTGGTGAGATCCTCTGACAACGATCTGTAGAAATTCAGAGCTACAGCAGTATAGATATGAACTGTTTAGTAACAGTCTGTGAGAGAAACAAAAACTTAATGCTATCTTTCTTTTTGAGTTTTCCAGGTCATGACTGTTCGCTTCTTTGTGCTATTTTTAGAAGATGAATCTCCTTTTCCAGTCTTACCAGAAGAAAAGGCAAACTTGCTCCGAGATAAGTACTTAAAACCCAAAGTAGCTGAATTTTTCCTGTACACTTTAAGGTTATGTCGTTACTGAAGATAACCAACCTGACACAGCCATATGGTAGGAAACTCAGTGTGTATTATCTTGAAACTCTCCTTCCCATATACTCAATTTAGATGACAATTTCTTGACACAGTAATGGATTTCCTGCCTGTTGTTTCTCCCACTTCAGGAAACACTAGCAATAGTTAGAAAATAAAAGAGATCGAAGGCTTAAACTGAATTTGCCAAGATGTGTACTTATTGCATTCAAGAAACAAAAATGTCAGACAAAAGAGATCTTTGGAGGCAGTTATTTATAACCAAGAGATATGAAGGAGTGCAGAAGAGAACTGGTTGGGAACTGTGGAATCAAGACTTAGAGGAAATGTTCAAAGGATGCCTGCATCAGAAGACAACAAATTAAAGCTTCAGAATTAGCCGCAAGATCAGGACACTGTTAGAAGTCTGGGAGGAGTGGTTACTGTACCCTTTATTGTACATTTTACTGCACAATTTACGTGTAATTTATAAACTAATTTGGTCTATAGGATAAAGTAATTTATAAAATGAATTGGAGGGTGTCATGTGCAAGTAATAATTTATGAAAAAGCTTTCATTAAAAAAACAAACAATTTTGAAGGTTTGATCTTAAGCATAAGATCTCTGGAAAATTTAGAAGAATATTTTTATCTAGAATGTTCTTTATGATAAGGAGTAAAAAAAGTTTAACTCCTTTTACCCTTGAGGAAAAAACATGAAAAATAAAAACAGGATAGGAATCTTGATGGCTCAGTGCTGATTTATGTAGATTTTCAAATAGTAGTTATTAGTGCTATAGGTTTCTTTCTAACCATAGAGGACAATGTGAAACTTGTCAGAGTAATTTTTATTAAAAAAATAGATATAAAATTTCTTTAATAAACTTCACTTCAGAGTGAAATTAAGTGAAACAATTTTGTACTGATAAGTTCACATCATCCTATCGGTTAACAAGGAAGAAAAATAGCACAGCAAAATGAGCTATTCACTAAGGAATTAACAGTCAAAATTAAGAGAGCAAAAATACAAGGGAAAAAAATCTGGAAGTCAAACTTTAGAATCTAGGCAAGACCTAGGAAAGTCTAGAATTATTTTTTGATAATTTATAATCCCAGTATTAGAGGCCATTTTAGTTGCTTTCTTTAAATTATGAAAGACAATTACAGAAAAAAACATGTCAGCAGTGACACATTCATAAGCAAAAGCTTAAAATATTAAATGGTCAGCAGGGTGAACAGGTCTTTCACTTACGCCTACTTTCATAAATAGCTCTTGATTTCTCATACAGCTCATATGGGTCAGGTTTTCGTGGATCAAAGGCCTCTGTTGAGTCGGGAAATGAACTCCTGTGAAGAGTGGGTGGATAGGGAATATTCTGTGGCATAGCTGGAGCAGACAGGCTTGTTTGAGGGCTGCCTTGATTCTCCCATCGTTCCATCATCTGGAATAAAAACATACAGAGAATAAAGTTTTGCAAAAACTGTGACTTCCACAATGAGACCAAAGTAACTGATTTCAGTTAAAGATGTATTTTGTAAAATTAGCAAATCCCTTTGTTGCCTTTTGAGATGAAAGGTGTGTTATGCTGTTGTAAAATGACTTTGTTAAATTTACTTGTTAATTTGTTGCTCATGGGAAGATGTGATCTTTCTTAGATAGTATGATCCCATATAGATTAGGGTCGAGAATTACCCCGAGGCATGCTGAGTGCCTCTCCCAAAACGTGCTGAGCTACTGGAAATCATTCTACTAAAGACAGAATCTGTGGGTCTGTGAAGAAGTTATCAGATTCATCAAAATACATAAATGAAAGTAGTGCTTAACAAAGAAGCAGCCAGACAGGGTAGTAACTGAGTGATCTTAATGCTATATCTTTTGAGAATACATGAAAATAGCTAGCTGCCCAGGGAGAAGCACGTTACTGTAGCTATGAGCAGAATTCACAGCTTCAATTGAATAAAAATAAAGAGGGAAAATTATTAAAAAAGTATGAGCGTCTAGTCATAGTTGAATGTTCAGTCATAAAGTACAGAACATGGTGAGAGAAAAGCGGGCATTAGTCTGATGCGGTCTTTTTCATTTCTTACTGTTTCTTATATAAAAAATGACATTGACATCATCCAACTGAACTCCCCAGCACAGGATAGGCTTTTCAACTCTTCCAGACAATTCAGAGCAGAGAAGTACACAGCAGTGTGTTGTCTATGCATGAAACCACCTCAATCCCTGCTTTCTCCAAGACTGCCCTTAGTGGTCTCACAAGTACGTCAAGCCAGAAAGGGGATAATACAACAGACTGCGCGAAAGAAGACTTGGGGATCTGCATTTTTCTCTTTGGAGGAGTTGGCTACTGCTTAAATTGCATTAGCAAATATATTTGAAGACACCAAGTTAAACAAAACACAAATGTTTATACCAGGAAATAAATATTTGGCTTTTTCTGTGACCCTTCCTGAAGCAAAGGATGGCAAAGCTTCCAGAACAGTGTGTTCTCACACATAACCCAATAATCAGTTATTTACACAAAAAATGCCTCTTGGAAACAAACTGAACTGTAATTACCACCAACTTCTAGTGTATCAGTAGTGCCCTATCAAAGATGATTGCAGATTTACAGCAAGTTTGCTCTACAAATTCTGTGATTATCCTTAGCCTTTCATTCCTCTGTTTCAGGTGTTTGGCTCAGCAGGTAGACTTCTGTTCTGATGATTAACAGCGTCAGGTTTTTTCCATACCAAGTATGTGGACTATAGATTTTTTTAGAGTCTTCTCTAAAATGGTGAAGATGCTGAGCAGCTATCACTCTGCACATCCCAGGTGGTCTGACACTCTTACCTTCATACTTCAAAATAAACAAAATACGGATATCGGCCATTTTAGGTTGTTGAGGACCTCATTCTTTATACAGAGTAGTCTTATAATTCAAGCTGTGCTTCTGTGAATTTCAGCAGTAAGTCAGACTGGTTCATTAGAAACAAGGAAGAAAAGATTTAGGTGTCTCAGTCAATCATAGGATGACTCTCATGCACCAGTATGCATCACGTACGATAGTTAAGTTGAGAAAGGAAAGTATTGGTGCTACCAAGGGCTAATGATGAAGATAGAGAATACTGCATTCAATATTCACCAATGTTGTTCAAGAAAGACATTTACTTGGGTCAGATACAAAAAAGACAGCAACTAGGATGTAATACAAAAGGGCACTATAGGTACATATAACCTGTGCAATACAGTGACATATGGAGGTACCCAAGTTGTCATCAAAACAGCTTAGGTACGGAAAAGTACCCTTCAGGTGCCCTTTACACCAAGATAAATTTATCCTCTGTGTCGGGTAAATTAGCCAATGAGTCAAGTCACATGAATAGTGCAATAACACTTCTAATATCCCTTCTGGTACTAGAGGTACTACCTCAGGGATATATACACATACAGATCATATCATTGGATCATGGAAGTGCAAATTCAAAGTTCTCCAGAAATAAACCTGATTATGACCCCTATGTCTAAATAGGAAAGGAGACCTGGGCTTAATACAAGTTGCCTATAATCAAGGAAACTGGAGAATTATGTTTAGCTTTTACCCGCCAGGAGGAATCTAGAAAAGAATACAAGTCACTGAAACCATCTTACCACTATAAAACAGGACAACATGTGGGGCCCTGTCTATCTGGAAGTGAAAGTTTCCTAATTTTTTGGATGATGTCACAGAAATAGAACTCTTACCACTTTCAAAAAGTGAAACTCAATAGAATTAAAATATTTAAATAAGGCTTTAAGAGAAGGAAAGTACAATTATCTTTTATGAGCAAACTTCCGACTGGAACAAGGACAAGAAACTGGAGATCAATTGGCAAAACCCGACTGGGTTCCATACGTCTAATTGTTGCTTGCTGTTAGCTCTAAATCTTCAAGTTTGAAGTTAAAACCTAAGCAAAACATTCTTACTTGTGGATGATACTGCCAACATAGTTACACAGATAAACACAAGGGGAATTAGAATCACAGAATGGTTTG